ACAGACACACTGGACACTACAGTACATTAACACTGCACTGAGAGAGAGGGGTTAATACAGACACACTGGTCAATCTCTCTATACCTGAGACACTTCGTCCCTTGAGTTCCACTTCACAGAAAGCAACAGTTTAGGCAGACTCTCCGGGATATTGACACAGTAATGCCTGCGAGACAGAGAGTGGTCAATGAAATGCGGCCGGACAGGCAGACGGGAGAACAGAGAAGCAGGTAGGGAGACGGAGAGAGACGGGCACCGGTGTCTCCAGAGGAAGTCCTTCTCCTGCTCCGACAGCTCGTACAGGGGGTCGCGGCTGCAGATACTGCGCAGCTGGTCCACGTCCGTCTGGGACACGCTGCTGTCGCAGGCCAGGCGATTGCTCTGGGGGCGAGAGCAGGAGGGAGGAGACAGTCAGACTGCCAAACCCCCTCCCTGTCCCGTGCCTCCCAGTCACAGACAGCCGCAGGGCTGACTCGAGGATCAGACAGACACACATCCATCTTCTACACTCTTCTTCCAGCTCTGGGTCGCGGAAGAGCCGGGGCCTATCCCAGCATGCAACGGCAGGGCAGGGTACACCCTGGGCAGGACACCAGTCCATCGCAGGGCAGACACACAGACAGAAACACACACTCTTACACCAGGGCCAGCTCTCCCAGAAGCCAATATGTCTACCAGCCTGTCTTTGGACTATCGGAGGAAACCCATGTGAATATGGTGAGACCATGCAAATGCCACACAGACAGCAACGCAGGTCTGGAATTGACCATGGGGCTCCAGTGCTGCAATGCAGCAGTGCTAACCACTGCGCCACCATGCCACTCTAGACTGCCATTCTTCCTCAAAATCACACATCTAGTAATCCCAGAACTCCCTCTCCTGCAGAATCAGAACAGCTAGCGATCTGATAGAAAGTCAACAGGGCTGCAGGCCTGTTTGTGATCTCCTGTCCAGCAGGGGGAGCTCAGTGAGATTCACTCAGTCCATCTGTCTCTCTCTCACCATTCCCAGCAGGCAGCAGTTGTACCCCAGCTCCCGGGAGATGGTCCAGTTGGCGTGTTCCTCCACCTGCTGCTCATCCGGGAACCGGACTGCATGGCTGAACCAGGGGAACTCTAGCTCCACACATGGCGTCTCCTGCACACGGATAACAGGTTTCATCATCATCATACAGTGCAATTCAACACAGCAGCAGAGTGAAATGCAGTGCACTATATTGTAGTCTGAAGTGTAGTACAGTACTGTGCAGTATAGCACGCTAGGGTGTAGTAGAGCACACTACTGTGCAGTACAGGACACTAGAGTGTAGTGTAGTATAGTATTGTACAGCATAAGACACTAGAGTGAACTGTAATACAGTACTGTGAAGTACAGGACAGTAGGGTGTAGTGGAGTACAGTACTGTGCAGTACAGGACAGTAGAGTTTAGTGAAGTACAGTACTGTGCAGTACAGAACACAACAGCAGGGTGTAGTGAAGTAGAGTTGCAGAGTACAGTACAGAGCTGCAGAGTGAGTGAAGTGTAGCATGGTACAGCACTCTATAGTACCCCCAACCCACCTTGTTGGGGTTTGATCCTGCAACCCCGATGGGGTTCAGCAGGTCCTCCAGGCCATGGGGCACAGGCCACAGGCCAAGGGTTATCTTCCCATTGACCAGAGTATCCTTGTAGTCAAACAGGTTGACATTACCCCAGGCCAGCGGACAGTGCTCCTGCAACACAGAGAGACAGAGAGCTACACTGCAGTACATCTCAGTACAGGCTGGTATACCTACACACACACTGTACAGGAGATACACTGCAATAAACACAGAGAGATACACTGCAATACATCTCAGTAC